AATTCAGGAACAGTCTAGATCGTGCTCGGTTCACGCAGCACTGGTTGCCGTGTAAGCCTCCCGCTCCTCCCTCCCTCCCTCCCTCCTCCCTCGCCTCTCCCACACAGTACTACGCCATTGTATGCCGGACAGGTGGAACATCTCCGCGGTCAGGTAAGACATGTAGCCCATCAGGAACACGTAGATCGGCTCGATCACGCGCACGTGGTCCGGAGGGCCTCCCCTCCCTCCTCACTCCCCTCCTGCCCCCTCCTGCCCTCCCACACACACATCACGCCATGATGCCTGGAACAGGCTGGACATCTCCGCGGTCAGGTAAGCACATGTAGCCCGATCTAGGACCACGCTAGAATCGGCGGCTCGATTCAACCGCCGCTGCACGTGTCCGTGAAGCAGCCATCCACCCTCCCCCTCCCTCCCTTCCCTCACCTCCCTCCCTCCCACACAGACACTCAGCCATGAGTTGCGGTACAGATGGAACATCGTTCCCCGGCGGTCAGGCTAGACATAGCCCACATTCTCCCCTTCGGCTCAGCCATAGTCACGGGCGCACCGCTGCCTCCAAGCCCGTCGTGAAGCCTCCATCCCATCCCCGCTCTGCCTCGCACCTTCCCCATCTCCGCTGCTACCGCCGTCTCCGCCTTCCTCTCGCTCCCCCCTCCCCCTCCTCCCACAGCGACACTCGACGCGACATCGATGCCCCGGTCTACAGGTGGCCTACATCCTCGCCTCCCCTCCCCGTCTTCCGCCTCACGCGGTACAGACATGCTACACTTCTCAACCTCAGCGCGAAGACACCGTAGATCCGGCTCGAATCACCTCTCTCCCGTGAAGCCTCCCTCCCTCCTCCCTCCTCCTCCCTCCCTCCTTCCCTCCCATCCTCCCTCCCTCCCACACAGACACTCACGCCATGATGCCGGACAGGTGGAACATCTCCGCGCGTCAGCGTGAAGTACATGTAGCCTCTCAGGACACGTCCGACGGTCGATCACGCGACAGTGGTCATGTGAAGCCATCCCTCCCCTCCCTCCATCCCTCCGCCTCCCATCCCTCCCTCCTCTCCCTCACCTCCCTCCATCCCACACAGATTACTCACGCGCATGATCCGAGACAGTGGAACGATCTCCGCGGTCAGGTAAGACATGTGCCCATCAGGCAAAAACACGTAGATCGCTCGATCACGCGCACGTGGTCCGTGAAGCGAGTCACGAAACCCGTGAGCATGCCGAAGATGACTCCGATGAGGGTTCCGCCGAGGCCGACAACGACGAAGGAACATATCCCGGCGATGATGTCGACGGCACGGATGTTGGTAAGGCCGATCTCCACGTACGCTTCAAACATGTGATAGAGCACCTGAAACAATGTTAGCATGTGTTAGAGCTGTGTACGCTTCAAACATGTGATAGAGCACCTGAAACAATGTTAGCATGTGTTAGAGCTGTGTACGCTTCAAACATGTGATAGAGCACCTGAAACAATGTTAGATGTGTTAGAGTGTGTACGCTTCAAACATGTGATGAGGCACCTGAAACAATGTTAGCATGCTGTAGAGCTGTGTACGCCTTCAAACCATGTGATTAAGAGCACCTGCAAACATGTGTAGCATGTGTTAGAGCTGGGTACGCTTCAACATGGTGATAGCGCACCTGAAACAATCGTAAGCATGTGTTGAGCTGTGTACGTTCTTTCAAAACAGGTGATAGCGCACCTGAAATACAATGTTAGCATGTGTTAGCAGACTGTGTCCGCTTCAAACATGTGATAGAGCACACTGAAACAATGTTAGCAGTGTGGTTAGAGCTGGGTACGCATTTCAAACATGTGATAGAGCACCTGAAACAATGGTTAGCATGTGTTAGAGCCGTGTACGTTCAACATGTGATAGATGCACCGTGAAAAGCAATATTAGCATGTGGTTACGAGCGTGTGTACGCTTCAAAACATGCTGAATAGAGCCCTGAAACAATCGTTAGCCATGTGTTAGACTGTGTACGCCTTCAAACATGTGATAGAGCACCTGAAACGATATTAGGCATGTGTTAGAGCTGGTACCGCTTCAAACAAGTGTGATAGAGCACCTGAAACAATGTTAGACACGTGTTAGGCTGTGTTACTTCTTCAACATGTATAGCGCCCTGAAACAATGTTAGCATGTGTTAGGCTGTGTACGCTTCAAACATGTGTAGAGCACCACTGAAACAATGTTAGCATGTGTGTAGAGCTGTGTACGATTCAAACATGTGATAGAGCACGCTGAAACAATGTTAGATGTGTTTGAGTTGTGTTACGCTTCAACATGTGATAGGAGCACCTGAAAACAATAATTAGCACTCCTGTGTTTAGAGCTGTGTACGCTTCAACATGTGATAGAGCACCTGAAACGCATGTTAGCATGTGTTAGAGCTGTGTTACGCTTCAAACATGTCGATAGAGCACTGAAACAATATTAGAGGTTTGAGCTGTGATACGTCAAACATGTGATAGTAGCACCTGAAACAAATGTTAAGCACGTGTTAGAGCGTGTGTACGCTTCAAACATGTGAATAGAGCACCTGAAAACAATGTTAAAGCAGTGTTAGAGCTTGTGTACCTTCAACATGTGATAGAGCACCTGAACATAGTTAAGCATGGTGTTAGAAGCTGTGTACCGCTTCAACATGTGATAAGAGCCACCTGAGAACAGTGCAGCGTGTTAGAGCTGTGTACGCTTACAACATGTGATAGAGCACATCCTGACAACCAATGTTCAGCAGTTGGTCTAAGAGCTGTGTACGCTTCAAACAATATGACAGCGCAACTAAAACATGTTAATTGTTCAGGCTGTGTACGCTTCAAACATGTGATAGAGCACCTGAAACAATGTTAGCATGTGTTAGAGCTGTGTACGCTTCAAACATGTGATAGAGCACCTGAAACAATGTTAGCATGTGTTAGAGCTGTGTGTACGCATTCAAACAGTGGGATAGCGCACTGGAAACAATGTTAGGCATGTGTTAGAAGGCTGTGTACGCTTCAAACTGCTGATACGAGTACGGAACAATGTTAGCAATGCGTTAGCAGCTGGTCTACGCTTCAAACATTGTGATAGAGCACGAAACAATGTTTAATGTGTTAGAGCTGTGACGACTTCAAAACATGTGAATAGAGCATCTGAAAAATATGTAGCATGTGTTAGAGCTGTGTACGCTTCAGACATGTGATAGCAGACCACGAAACAATGTTAGAATGTGTTAGAGACTGTGTACGACTTCAACAAGTGTGATAGCAGCACCTGAAACAATGTTTGAATGTGTTAAGCACGTGTAACGCCATTAAACATGTGATAGAGCACCTGAACAATACTTGCATGTCGTTAGAGCTGCTGTACGCCTTCAAACATGTGATAGGAGCACTGAAACAATGTTAGCCATGTGTTAGAGCTGTGTACGCTTCAAACACGTGAAATCAGAAGCCCTGAAACAATGTTAACATGTGTTAAAGCTGTGTAGGCTACAAACATGTGATAGAGCACCTGAAACAATGTTAGCATGTGTTAGAGCTGTGTACACTTCAAAATGTGAAGAGCATCTGCAATGGTAACATATGTAACATTGGTGTTCCCTTCAAACGTGTGATAAAGCACCATGCAATACAGTATCTACCTTTACAATTCTTTTTCGATTTTTTGTCTGAAAAAAAATGCATTTTCATGAAACATCCTCACGAAACATTCTAAGTATTGGAACAAACATTAACCACAATAGTATCTCGTAATTTTTTCTCTTTGCTTTATGCATCATTATTTACTACTACCCGTTAACGTCCTCCAAAACAGAGTAACAGATTATCAAGAGTAGATAATAACACATGTGTTATTATCTACTCTTGAAATTATGCAATCATCTCTCTCGTCGAGTCTCCAATCTTATGATGCCTGACGACTTATAGCTAGTTATCGTAAGACAGATGCCATGCTTAGACATGACATCTCCCAATAGAAAGCTAGGTAATATGGATTAGCTTGCCTCTGAATACATAGCCGAGTAGCAGGGCAATGTATGCGTAGGGATTCTAGTGCCCCATGATCATCGACCAATACTAAATCATACGCGACAGACATGATTAAAAATAGTCTTCACCCGCGGAGCGAATCATGTCAACAACCGGTTACCGATTGCAGCGGCCCTGCTGTTGAATGCCCGTCATTAGCCTTTGATGAGCATGCCAGCGTTCAGCCGTTGTTAAGCACGGAACAGCATAGAAGCATGTCTACCGTGACTCTAGAACTAGAACTACAGCCCTTCGCCAATAGCCCACAGGCCTGTGGCAGAGCGACGGGCTATAGTTCTAGAGATAGTTATCTCTAGGAGGGGAGATAATAGGAGGGAGAGAGGGACAGGGAGGGAGGAGGGAGGAGGGAGGAGGGAGGGAGCCGAGAGAGGCAGGGAGGAAGGAAGGGAGGAGGGAGGGAGGGGAGGAGGGAGGGAGGGGAGAGACAGGAGGGGAGGAGGGAGGGAGAGGAGGAGGTTAGGAGGAGGGAGGGAGTGGGGATAGGGAGGGAGAAGGGAGAGGAGAGGGCCAGCGAAGGAGCTGTGAGGTTGAAAGAGGGAGAGTGAGTGAGAGATGGAATGAGGGGAGATGAGAGGGAGAAAAAGGAAGAGAGAAAGAGAATCGTGACCCGTGCGTGCATATTTGGTTTTGATATTCCGTGCTATTACGTATATTATGTGTATATTATGTGGGGAGCAATCGCTTTTTGGTAAGGTCGCCAACTTTCTTTACAAACAGGCTGGTCTTACTGAGCAGTAAGTTGTAGTTTAAATGCAAACTGCATTAAACACGCATTGTTGAAAGACTTACAGTTAAGCTGGGTTTGCACTATCAACTTTTAGTAGTAAATTTGACGAGTTGATCAACTTTTCAACTTTTTAAACAAATGTCGGCAGTGTAAACGCAAAAGTTGAGTGCTCAACTAATTAATATCAAGTTATTAATTAGTTGAGAAAATAGAACGCATGTTAAAATGTATAGTTGATAACCTGCAACATGTGTTAGATGAATTGTAATATGCGTTACACCATCGATATCATGCGCTAGATAAACTGTGATATCATTATATCAGGAGTAAGATAATATAGGATCCAATATTATATATAAGATATAATAATGGATATATATATAGGATATATATATATATCTATATATATCTATAATATAAGATCCTATATTATATAATATATCCTATATTATCTTACTCGTGATTATATGTGATGGACCACCCATTGTAACATGTGCAAAACCATCCGTAATGTTATAGATGCTCCATAACGTTATGTTATAGNGGATTAGAATTATCAATCATTAATCATTAATCATTAATGATATCAAAGATATCAATCCTAATGAAGCGTTAGCCGAAAGAAAAGAGAAACAAGAACATTTCCGTGGATACTGAATCGGCCGGTTTAACTTCAACAACAATGGCGGCCGCTAACGTGAGCAACGAGGTCACAAATGCTGAACTCAAAGAACACATCTATGTTGGTTTCGAAGAAGTAAAGCAAAAAGTAACACAGTTAACGGAAAGGATCGACAGTTTGGAAGTGGACGTCGACAATGTGAAAAAGGCGCAAAACGAAACTCAAGAACAAATGCAAACGGTGAAAGGAGAAATTAACGATCTTCGGCAGTCATTGCTTGTGGCCCAAACACATAGACGCAAGTACAATCTACTTATCTACGGAGTTGAAGGCCACGAAACCTCACCGGCAGGAACGATTGCGCGCGTGCGAAAATTCGCTGTTGAACATCTACAGTACGAAGAAGGCGACGCAAAACGTCTGGCCGCGAGGCGTTTGAGACGAGGAAAAACGGTGAACTACAGGCAAGAGTCGTCGAGCGGAGGACGGACATTTTCATCGAAACAAGAAAGAAACAGTGCGGACTCTTGGAAAAAGAAAGAATGACCGAACAATAATATCATTATCAGTGAAGTATTAATAGTTCTAAAAATGGCGGGTTTCGAAAATCGTATATACGGTCAAGTTTATTTGTTTGTTTTTGTTTTTTTATATTCGGTTTTAAATGTTTAGTCGGATAAATCGCAACCTGATTTCACATTCAGAGAAGACGAATTTTTTTACCGTAATAACTATTCGCTGATACACGCAGGCAGTAAATCAGCAGTTCTTTGACCACACGTATAAATAGTACGTACATTACTAGTACTTCGTATATTTCGGTATTCTACGTACCCATTACGGCATTAGGCATTACACTATTTAATTTTCAACTGTTACTAACGAAGTCATAAATGTTGAGGTGCGTAAACAAATTTCTGCAAGATAGTAGCCTTAATAATGTCGCCTGTTTTTTCTATCACTTTTCTACAACACTTTATAATTCATTCAGCTGTATTCACTATTGTATTAGATACACGATTAAGGTATTTTCAACACAAAATACTTCATCGTATCCTTGCCACAAACAAATTTCTTGCCCTCATAAACATCAACGACTCAGATAAATGCACAGGCGTACCAGGCCATTGGAAGGGCGTTTCAATAAAATATAATGGCTAACTAAATACGAATCTATTAACTAGCACAATTCTTAATGTTTCTATACTCTGCTTTCCCATTATTGGCCGCAGTTTCCTGTAAATTCGTCCAAATCCTACGTCGCAACCATATACGCTGCGGCGCCATTGCTTCGCGACTGTTGCACGCTTACACTAAGATGCAAATTAGGCGGGAAAAGACCATCCTTAATTTGCTGCGGTTAAAGCATATCTAAAATACATCATGGAAGTAGAAAAATATATAGCAATAACAAACAACAGATTTTACAAGTTTTATGGCAAATGAGCAATTTTATTTCACAATTTATAGTATAAGGACGTAACATAGAACATATATAAGCATATACATCTATAAAACTATGCACGAACTTTGAACAAGAGAAAACAATTGCTATGTTCAATGTACATAACTATTTGAGAATTATTTACCTGTGAACGACATTTACCTGTGTTGGAAATGTACACCATCATATATGTAAACCATCTCATATAAGCATTAAAACAATATGTTCGTATCATCTGTAATGTGATTACCATCACAATACTATCTGATCTTGTGTAGCATATTCTATACATGTATGTATATGCATTTTTGGAAATAAAGTACATTATAAAAATATATATATATATAGAACAATACCAAATATAAACAATAATATAAGTGTGCGCGCAGCGTAAATTGGGTGTTTGTCTGACCGCCCCTAAGCCATAATACACACACATGATATAATATTCACAAAGCAGTCACAGAAGGAATGTCTTCCAGTTCCGGCTTACCACAAGACCGACGCCTTGCTACAAGGTTAACAAGTTACTATACAAGGTTAACAAGCACGAGGCGTGATCGGATTGACTAATAAACCAGCAACGCTTATTTATAATTATAATTTAATACTTTTAATTTTATAATTATTATAATTTTATAATTTTAATTTTTAACTTTATAATTTCAATACGTAAGCAAAGTTTCTGACGTGAAACCTGAGTGCATTATAATTTTTGAGTTATCTATGATATTATGGCGGTGCCTCTGGCTCTCAGTGCCAGGTGAATTTCTAAGTGTTTATCTTGCAGTAGTGTACACGCTGTGGACACGCATATGTGCAGACACACGCAAGCATATTCACGTACACGCACGCACCCACGCACGTGCACACGCAGTTCAACATCAAGATAAAAAAATCTAGGCCACGATATAAATTTACCCGTAATATATGTTTACATTAGGAACAGTTCAAACGTGCACGTGATATCAAACGTTAGACACGTGCACGTGAAACCAAACGTTAGACACGTGCACGTGATAAGAAACGTTAAACACGTGCACGTGAATCCAAACGTTAAACACGTGCATGTGAAACCAAACGTTAAACACGTGCACGTGATACGAAACGCTAGACACGTGCATGTGATACGGCACGTTAAACACGTGCACGTCATACGAAACGTTAGACACGTGCACGTGATACGAAACGTTAGACACGTGCAAGTGAAACCAAACGTTAAACACGTGCACGTGAAACCAAACGTTAGACACGTGCACGTGATACGAAACGTTAAACACGTGCACGTGATATGAAACGTTAGACACGTGCACGTGAAACCAAACGTTAGACACGTGCACGTGATACGAAACGTTGGACACGTGCACGTGATACGAAACGTTAGACACGTGCACGTGATACGAAACGTTAAACACGTGCACGTGATATGAAACGTTAGACACGTGCACGTGAAACCAAACGTTAGACACGTGCACGTGATACGAAACGTTGGATATCACGTGCACGTGTTTAACGTTTCGTATCACGTGCACGTGTCCAACGTTTCGTATCACGTGCACGTGTCCAACGTTTCATATCACGTGCACGTGTTTAACGTTTCGTATCACGTGCACGTGCGAAACGTTAAACACGTGCACGTGATATGAAACGTTGGACACGTGCACGTGATACGATACGTTAAACACGTGCACGTGATACGAAACGTTAGACACGTGCACGTGATACGAAACGTTAAACACGTGCACGTGATACGAAACGTTAGACACGTGCACGTGAAACCAAACGTTAAACACGTGCACGTGATATGAAACAGCCCGAATACACACGATCCAATACGGATATCGACAACTGCACACAGACTGAAGCTCTGCTCATCAATAATCGATTGATTCGTACGTGTCTACGCCCGCGAATATTGATTATCCTAGAATTTACTTATGGCGGCAATCGATAGCAGCTGTGATGAAATGGATTGATGAGTGGGCGTGGATGCAAACCTCTCGAGATATCACTTAACCTTTAGTAGGCTGTAACTTTAACACACAATGAATGCTCACTGACTGCATATAGCGTCTCGCAAAATCATTAATAGGCGAGCCAGTGACACGAGTGTGAGACCAGTGCGTTGCACCTAGTCCAGTATCAGACACTTGCGTTTATTATCGCAATTAATTATCCATTGGCGTTATGAAATCATGTACGCGGGTAATTCCATCGCTACTATTTCTGCGAATATTTGTCAGTATGGATCCCCTGTATTGTCAGAGTTGCGGTAAGTAGGGGGTTGGCTCCAATTTCGGTACATGGTTCATACAGAACTGAAATTTTTTTCAAGGACTTTT